CCATATGTCAATGGACTTTGAAAATATTTGAACTATTACAAAAACTTTAACGTAAATTCTAAGTCGAAAAAGGGGCATAATTCTGTCAAAATGCTTAATAGAGTTACCTCCTCCAGTTTACAGGTTGGGGTCATGATGGTGAACAAGTGTGCAAAGTTTCAAAGCCATATGTCAATGGACTTTGAAAATATTTGAACTATTACAAAAACTTTAACGTAAATTCTAAGTCGAAAAAGGGGCATAATTCTGTCAAAATGCTTAATAGAGTTACCTCCTCCTGTTTACAGGTTGGGGTCATGATGGTGAACAAGTGTGCAAAGTTTCAAAGCCATATGTCAATGGACTTTGAAAATATTTGAACTATTACAAAAACTTTAACGTAAATTCTAAGTCGAAAAAGGGGCATAATTCTGTCAAAATGCTTGATAGAGTTACCTCCTTCTGTTTCCATGTTGGGGTCATGATGGTAAACAAGTGTGTAAAGTTTCAAAGCCATATGTCAATGGACTTTGAAAATATTTGAACTATTACAAAAACTTTAACGTAAATTCTAAGTCGAAAAAGGGGCATAATTCAGTCAAAATGCTTGATAGAGTTACCTCCTCCTGTCTACAGGTTGGGGTCATGATGGTGAACAAGTGTGCAAAGTTTCAAAGCCATATGTCTATGGACTTTGAAAATATTTGAACTATTACAAAAACTTTAACATAAGTGGTTACGCCGACGCTCGGGTGACTGCAATAGCTCTACTTATTCTTATCGAATAGTCGAGCTAAAAATAAATTACCAGTAGAACATGGTTATTCTTACCCCAGTGGCATAGACTATACATAAATTCCTTTTGTATAGAACCAAAAGGTTATGATCTGTGCCAGATATCTTTGCTCTGAGCATTTTAGTTTCAGGAGAAATATTTTCAAGATGAATTTACCATTAAATATATGTATGAACAAAGAGAAACCCTCGAGCGTGCCAATTTTAACCCTAGGAACACGATTTTTTTTATAGAGGTCTACAGTCTGAGTTAAAATTTCAAAAATCCAAAAAGACTAAAAAGCTTCTTCCTATATTTGTCCATATAGACTAAGTGACCACCAGGAGGAGGGGCCGATATGTTTTATATCATCATTTATTTAAGTACCAGCTAATGGCTGAGGTTGGTTAATATCTTAGCCCTTAATATTGTTGTACCTCAGTAGAATATCTAAGCCTTTGGTATTGTTATACCTCAGTAGAATATCTAAGCCCTTAATATTGTTGTACCTCAGTAGAATATCTAAGCCCTTGGTATTGTTATACCTCAATAGAATATCTAAGCCCTTGGTATTGTTGTACCTCAGTAGAATATCTAAGCCCTTGGTATTGTTGTACCTCAGTAGAATATCTAAGCCCCTGGTATTGTTGTACCTCAGTAAAATATCTAAGCCCTTGGTATTGTTGTACCTCAGTAGAATATCTAAGCCCTTGGTATTGTTATACCTCAGTAGAATATCTAAGCCCTTGGTATTGTTATACCTCAGTAGAATATCTAAGCCCTTGGTATTGTTATACCTCAGTAGAATATCTAAGCCCTTGGTATTGTTGTACCTCAGTAGAATATCTAAGCCCTTGGTATTGTTATACCTCAGTAGAATATCTAAGCCCTTGGTATTGTTGTACCTCAGTAGAATATCTAAGCCCTTAAAATGGTAATACCTTAGTAGAATATTTTAATTTTAGAGACCTTTTTAGCTCCTGTGGCATATTTGTGTAAAGGACTTGATTTTCTTTTTACTTTAATAGAGTGACCCCTAGTGACCCATAATCAAACTTGACCTAGTAATCATCAAAACAAACTTTCCGACCAATTTCCAGGATATTTGGATCAAAACAGTAGCCACTAGAGTGTTAGCAAGATTTTTTCTATTTTTAGCTCCTGCGACCTAGTTTTTCATTCGAGATGAGATATGTTAAAAAATTATCTGAGCAATTACCTAGACAAGCATTCTGACCAAGTTTGATGACAATTGAGTCAAAAATGTGACCACTAGAGTGGTGCAAAATTCCTAAAAACAGCAGCTGATGTCATAAGTAAACCTCTATGTAGTATTATAAATTTAAGCATAAAAAGTCGAAAAATTTCCAACTCAGCTAAAACAGTCAAAGGTAACACCAATTTACAAAAAAGGACCAAAGGGAGACAAAAATAATTACAGACCAATTTCAGTACTTCCCCTTATCTCTAAAATAATTGAAAAACATGTATCAGACAACTTAAAGCTCTATTTAGAAACAAACCATTTACTTTACACTGCTCAATCAGGTTTCAGGGCACATCATTCATGTGAGACAGCTCTTACAAATATAATTGATAATTGGATCAGTGTGCTGAATGATGACAAACTTGTCGGAACTTTTTTTCTAGATTTATCAAAAGCCTTTGATTTAGTAAACCACCAAAAATTTCTCTATAAAAAATACTAAATCAAAAAATACTGCTTCATTTACTCTGCACCTTCAAATCAAAGAGATAGAATTTACAGACACTGAAAAACTGCTAGGAGTCCAGGTTGACAAAATCTTAAATGGAAAACACAAATTCAAAATATTATTAAACAAGAACTGTCGCAGGACAGTAACGCTCGACTATTCGAAAAGTTGTCACAAGTGTGTTTCATTGAGTATAAAAATGCTTACCTATATGAATACATAAAATTGTCCGAAAAGGTACAAAAGCTTGTTATTAAGATGTTTTATCAAGTAAATCACTGCTTTATTATTATGAATGCATAAAATTGTTCAAAAAAGGCTTAGCCAAGAATTTCTAAGTAGAAAAAGGGGCATAATTATGCAAAAAGCAAATCATAGTTATTGGACTTATGCCAATCATGTTAGATAATCACAGAGAACAAGTGTGTGAAGTTTCAAGTTATTCCCTTCAGTAGTTATGGAGATACCAGCTTGCACGCAAAAACTTAACCAGGAATTTCTAAGTCGAAAAAGGGGCATAATTATGCAAAAAAGCAAATCAGAATTATGGGACTTTTTCCAATCATGTTAGATAATCACAGAGAACAAGTGTGTGAAGTTTCAATCCATTCCCTTCAGTAGTTATGGAGGTACCAGCTTGCACACAAAAACTTAACCAAGAATTTCTAAGTCGAAAAAGGGGCATAATTATGCAAAAAAGCAAATCAGAGTTATGGGACTTATTCCAATCATTTAAGTTAATCACAGAGAACAAGGGTGTGAAGTTTCAATCCATTCCCTTCAGTAGTTATGGAGATACCAGCTTGCACGCAAAAACTTAACCAAGAATTTCTAAGTCTAAAAAGGGGCATAATTATGTAAAAAAGCAAATCAGAGTTATTGGACTTTTGCCAATCATGTAAGATAATCACAGAGAACAAGTGTGTGAAGTTTCAAGCCATTCCCTTCTATAGCTATGGAGATACCAGCTTGCACGCAAAAACTTAACCACAGGGACGCCGACGCCGACAAATGGGTGACTGCATTAGCTCGATAATTCTGCGAATAGTCGAGCTAAAAATGCAATTCACAGCTCTATTTGCTTCTTAAAATCAAACAGTACCTCGATCTCTACTCCAGAAAACTCTTTTTTAATGCTTATATTTTGCCACATATTGACTGTTGTTGCACTATTTGGGGAAACTGCAGTAGTGAATTACTTTCACAAATTGTCAACTTTCAAAAAAGAGCTACAAGAATTATTTTAGACAAAAGTTTTCATACTCCATCAAATATTCTATTTAAAGAATTAAATTGGATGTCCTTTGACCAATGAATTATGTACAACAAGGCAATCCTCATGTATAAATCTATAAATGAACCATCCTTTCCTATTTATATGAAAAATAAATGCCAAACAGTAAATGACAAACATGACTTTAACTTAAGATCTATACAAAAAGAAAAACTAACTGTACCCAAACCAAAAACAGAATTTTTTAGAAAATCACTTAATTACTCTGGTCCTGTGGTATAGAACAGCATACTAATACATATTCGAAATTCTGATACCCTGATATATCCAGTGGCAATTTTCTAACAAATTGTTTGTACATATTGTTTCAAGAACATATACTTTCCATGCTGAAGTTATGAAAATGTCACTGCTCTATGTAAGAAGAAAAGAAAATGTTTACTTATTGTATTGATATGATGTTTAATGTACATATTTATGTTGTCTAAATGTTGATTGTGATTGTATTTTATGTTGTTTTGTATATACTGAGGCCCGCATGGAAGATCGGGAAACTGAATGTGTTAGCCTCATAAAAGAAAGTCGTTATACTTACTTACTAACTAACTTTCTATTTTAAGCTCCTGTGACCTTGTTTTTCATCCGAGATGACCCATGTTCGAACTCATCCGAGCTATTACCTAGACAAGCATCCTGACAAAGTTTTAGGATGATTGAGGCAAAAATGTGAACGCCTAAGAGGGTTAACAAACAAGTGTGGACAGACGACAGACGACGGACGACAGATGACGGACATTCAACGATCTTAAAAGCTCAATTTGAGCTAGCTCAGGTGAGCTAAAAATGCATCTTCTTGGTTGTGAACCCACCTTTTTCAGAAAGGAAATACAGCATTTGGCATCTAATAACTGAATGTATCGGTCACACTCTGCATAGACAACGAGAACAAAGATCAACAAGGCAACGTTCATAGGACACGGCCCCTCACCCCCCCCCCCCCCCCCGACACACCCAAGCCACCACAGCAGGGCATCCAGAAGGCACCAAACCAAAACCAGGAGTAGACAAGCGCGGCAACGGGGGAGAAAAGGGACACTGTGTGAAATAATAAAAACTAAAAAGGACCCATATGGGAATTAAAGGGACAAGGGCTATCAAGATGAACAAAAAGGTGGGAAGGGTAACAAATGGGGGGTTTAAAAGTTTATGCGGCATTGAAAGTAAATAAAACACATAATCATTGATTTGTCCCAGTGACCAGGTTTATAATTAAAAATAATAATTGTACAAAACTTACCTCCATCGCTATTTAACACAAAATTTTTTTTCTTTTTACGAATAGTTTGTTCCTCTGTTGATTGGGTGACTTACTTTACATACTGTCCAAAGCATATATATATATAGCACAAGTATGTCATTTTAGTGTATAAAATCTCTGTGTGTATATAAAAAAAAACTTCCTTATTGCTTAAGCAGCTTTCGATCAAACAATATGCATACTTTAGAGTGACGACGCTTAAAAGTATGTGAGTCGAAGCGGATTGGTTAATTTGAGCGCAGGATATATTTACTATCATTAGATCTACATTTTCAACATTTCATATATCAAGAATGATATAAATTGCAAACATTGCACTGGCAAAATTGGATGTTCAATTCCGTATTTTACCATGATAAAATGTATTGCCATTGTAAATGTTTATCTCATAAAAATTAAAATAATCTTAATATCAAATCAAAACATGAGGCTATCTCTTTATCCGCATGCCATATAAAATTGAAATGGTTATCTTTTTAAATCTTAAAACATACAAATTTGTGCAGGATCTTTTTTTGATCTGGGAAGATTAGGTTGCAATAAGTAATGCATGTAAGAAGACTAGTGATGGAAATCGGATGGTATTTGTCCCAATCGATCATCGGTTCAATCGGATGGGGCATAATCGATAACTTTTCGAATAAAGTCGCGTTAAAAAGAAATAGGGAAGAAACAATTCTTCCCAAGGCACTTTATTATATTCAGTTACGTGAACTTCATATAGCTCTTTTCAACACAGTTTTAAACTTATATAGTCATAATTTTACGAAAAAGCTTTTATTTTCCAATGGATGTCAAATAATAACATTGACATCACATTGTATAACTATTGTTTACATCACGTATTGGTCCTGTTCAACTCCAAATTGTCTCTGAGATATTTTCTTTGCGATCGGTAAGGTGTTCCTAAAAGGAAATTACCGTCAGAATTAATTCCCTTTGATACTTTAAACATTTTCGACGACGTCGCGGAACAAATTTTTGTGAATCGATTATTGTCGCTTTACATAACAGTAACTGATTATCGACGACATGCGACAATCGGAACATCACTAAAGAAGACTGATAAATGTTACTTCTGACTACAAGTTAGATAGTCACTGAATGTCTTATATATTGCTTCCAAGGGGTTATCATGCTTTCCAGATTTTATTTAAAAGATGATTGCCGGGGGGGGGGGGGGTAAATTTCTGTAATTTCTGTAATAAATAAAAAGACACGGTTTAAAGAGAAATTCACATGCCTGATCCCATTAATGATTAAGTGTTTGCAGTACTTGTAGTTCTGTTGTACAGCTTTCTTTAAATTTGTAATGTACAAGCTAACAGCAAATTAAAATCAATGAGCAGAAGAACATGAAATATAAATAAAGAGTATCATTAAAAGCAAATATCTCATATATACTCGTATGATCTGAATTATCTGAACGAAATTGTATTCTCTATAAGAAAATATAATATAGTAATACAATTAAGTAAATTTATACAAGCAAAATAAACTTAAGCTTTAAAATATTAAGACTATAAGAATGTTTATGTAGCATAATTTTAGACGCTTATTTTAAATTACTAAATATTGTCCAGCATATCGTTTAGAATCTTGAAATTTTGTAAACCTTTTCAAGGAGAGAGATGGGTATCTCTAATGATGATAATAATAATGATAATAATGCACATAAGCTTATTTACTGTTTATCTTGAAAATTTATAAATATAGCACAGGGAAAATCCAAGCCTATAAATTATTTCAAACTTCTTGCTTTGTTTTCAATGCGGACTTAGTTTATCTTGATATCGGACTTGGTCGATGTTGATATGGGACGTATTTATTCATGTCTGACTCACTTTATTTGATATTGGACTTAGTTATGTTCATGTATCGGGTCCATCAGACTTAGCTTTGGGTTATATCGGACTAAGGTTATCAAAATAAGTTTATGATGATATCAGACTTAGTCTATGTTAATATCGGACTTAGTTTATAGTGATATTGCACTTAGTTTATGTTGATATCGAACTAAGTCTATGTTCGTATCGGACTTAGTTTATGTTGATATCAGACTTAATTTATGTTGATATCGGAATAGATCTATGGTGAAATCAGCCTGATCTATGTGATATCGGACTTAATTTATTTTGATATTGGACTTAGTTTATGTTGATATTGGGTTCATTGTGTTGAGTTTATGCTGAGGTTTTTAGATATCCGACTTATTTTATTTTGATATCAGACTTAGTTTATGTTAATATCGGACTTAGTTTATGTTGATATCGTGTCAATCAGGTCTAGTTTATGTTGATATTGGACTAAGTTTATGCTGATATCGGACTTAGTTCATTTTTGATCTGGTTCATCAGACTTAGTTGATGTTGATATCGGGTCCATCGTGTTAAGTTCATGTTAATATCAGATTAAGTTTATGTTGAATTCCAGCTTAGTTTATGCTAATATTTGGCTAAATTAATGTTCATATCCAGCTAAATTCTGTTGATACTGGTCTCAGTTTAAATAGTTATGTTGAAAACTGGCACAGTTCAAATTGATATCAGGCTTCGTGTAGGTTGATAATTGGCTTAGATTATGTTAACATAGGGCCGCGATATAGACAACCCCATTCATCAATGAGAACAACTTCTGTTGAATAATCGTCCAGACTTTTTGTTATGTTTCAGATGTCTCAGTGTCAAATTTAATGTAAGCACACTTGATGCGAAGTTATAAGTTCGGAAATTATGGCCAGAAAGAACAAACATTCATTCTTACATACTTTTAATACATATATGTCAAAATCTCAAACTAATGATTCAGCTGTATGCAAATGAAACACATATAGAATTGTCGATACTTAGCTTAAATATTTATATTTTGAAGGAGTAATGCATTAAATTTTCTAAACAAACTTAAACCAAGACTAGCTTCATCTTTACTTTTATTATTTCATTATTGCTTAATTTGCTTTGCTGACTCAATTGTTACATATCATTATGAAAGAGATGACTTAATATTAATGAAACATGTACCCATTAATAGATGGAATACTATTTAAGACAGCGTTTAGGGTGTTAGGCATGTTGCACTTGTCCATTATTCCTCATGAACAAACTGCGTCTACATTTTTGATGTAATTTTGTTTCCTCTACCTTCCGATAGATAATTCCTTTACTTCAATTTTTTCCATATTTGTACAAATGACAACCGCTAAATGTACCTCAACTTTTTATAAACACCGTCACATCCTGACCGATCAATGGCTTACAAGGCTCCTTAAAACTATGCGTTTAATAAGTTTTCCACAATGCCATGAAATTATAATTAAAACATTTAGAAAGAATATTAGTCTTTCTAATACGTATATTCATTTATTGCAATGATTTTAACAAGAGCCACCGTCTAGCAGGGGTCACACTAGACTTTTTCTTATTTCTTAAATAAAATACAACAGAGGAAAAATTATATAGTAAAGACTTCTCCTACAAAACATCATTTCTTTGTAACAAATAAATTTCTTTCTTTTTTTGAACTTCACGGTCAAGGTCAATTAAAGGTTAAACTCATATCAGAATAATTCGATTTTACCATGTGTTCTTTAGTCGAAGTATGAATCTAATATGCGAACAAATAACAAAGTTAAAGGACAATCAATAACTTGACCTTGACAGTCAGGACCATTTCAATGCCATTGTCATAAGAATGTTCCTACGGCGATAAAAACAATTGTATTGGATCCTGAAGACAAAAACAGAAATATTTGTGATCCGGCAGTCAGAAACAGGAATCGTATTGGAGTCTGCTGCGATGAATACAAGAAATATATCCTGAAGTCAGATACAGGAAACAAAATTTATCCTGCAGCCTTAACTAAAGGAATTATATTGACCCCTCCTGCAGTCATAAACTGGAAATGTATGTGATTAGTCAACGTAACTACAGAATATATATTGGATCCTGCAGTTAGAAACAGAAAATATAGGCAGTCCTGCAGCGTTCTATACATAAATTATATTGGATCTTGCAGTCAGATACTAGAAATGCATGTGAACCTGCAGTCAGATACAGGGAAGGTATTGGCTCCTATAATTGCGAAAAATATACAAGAAATATATTGGGTCCTGCAGTCAGATACAGAAAACATAAGACGATTCTTAATATAAAATCAAAACATGAGGCTATCTCTTTTTCCGCATGCCATATAAAATTGAAATGGTTATCTTTTTAAATCTTAAAACATACAAATTTGTGCAGGATCTTTTTTTGATCTGGGAAGATTAGGTTGCAATAAGTAATGCATGCAAGAAGACTGATAAATGTTACTTCTGACTACAAGTTAGATAGTCACTGAATGTCTTATATATTGCTTCCAAGGGGTTATCATGCTTTCCAGATTTGATTTTATAGATGATTGCCGGAGATCTTTATCATATAAAATTGTGGGGGTAAATTTCTGTAATAAATAAAAAAAGGCACGGTTTAAAGAGAAATTTACATGCCTGATCCCATTAATGATTAAGTGTTTGCAGTACTTGTAGATTCTGTTGTACAGCTTTGTTTAAATTTGCAATATACAAGCAAACAGCAAATTTAAATCAATTAGCAGAAGAACGTGAAATATAAATAAATAGTATCATTGAAAGCAAATATTTCATAGATACAATCTGAATTATCTGAACGAAATTTTATTCTCTATACGAAAATATAATATTGTAATACAATTAAGTAAATTGATACAAACAAAATAAACTTAAGCTTTAAAATATCAAGACAATAAGGATGTTTATGTAGCATAATTTTAAACGCTTATTTTAAATTACTAAATATTGTTCAGCACATCGTTTATAATCTTGAAATTTTGTAAAACCTTTTCAAGGAAAGAGATGGATATCTCTAATGATGATAATAATAATGCACATATTAGCTAAACTGTTTTTTTTTGAAAATTTATAAATATAGCAAAGGGAAAATCCAAGCCTATAAATTATTTCAAACTTCTTGCTTTGTTTTCAATGCGGACTTAGTTTATCTTGATATCGGACTTGGCCGATGTTGATAATGGACGTATTGTTTCATGTCGGACTCAATTTATTTAATATTGGACATAGTTATGTTGATGTATTGGGTCCATCAGACTTAGCTTTGGGTTATATCGAACTAAGGTTAAGTTGATATCAAAATAAGTTTATGATGA